TAGATGCACTCTAATTTTGTTAATATCATATTTTGTATATTATTTGGGCCAGAGGCCTATGTGATTAATAAATGTTCCTTGAACCTGTTTTCAAGGAAGAAGAAGAAGAATCTGTTGCCAGCTTTTTTTTTTTTTTTTTTAATCGTTTTTTTGGAACAAAGAACAATAACCATTATTTAGGCCAGTATTAAACATTAAGAGCCAGTACGCAATACTCAATTTACTGTGATACGTTATAATATTAATCATTGCGCCCTCTATTTGCAATCTTCAAAGGTTGCTGCACTTCATCTTCACCAACAATTTAACAATACAACTCAACGTTGAATTCACCTGTATAGACGCATCGATTACATTACTCCGCTTTCTGCAGCGCCAAATAGGATGGAACGTCGAACGTTATTCATAATTTCAATTGGTGCGTATTGAATTAATTACTTTTCTATTGTTTTTATTCAAGTAAAAGGCGAAATATATGATATATGATAATAAAGACTGGATCAGCATGTTTAGTACGATCTACCAATAGACCGAGTCGTTCGCTTAGATAGAAATTAAAGTAACTTTTGGCAGTTAAAGTTCACCTTGTACTTTATAATTTTTATTGATAATGAAGCTTGTATTCTCGCCACTCTTCGGACTAAAACAAAAGTTTTTGGCATAAAATATTTTAAAACGTAGAGCCGCTTGAAGTAGACAAATATTGCCCTTTTAAAAAGGTAATCCCTTAATCCTCGGACCCATCTGTCCCCCGAGGCTCTGACAAGGGCGCAGTAATAACATCACCCCTGAATCTCATAGGTCTATTTCAGTCTCGTATAGGGCTATAATATAAAAAAGTTTATCAAAAAGCAAAAAAAAAAAACCAAAACCAGTGGCGATCCAGTTTAGAGATTAAAGGGCAAACACTTCTACATGGCCTACACCTGGGCCACTTATTGGGGAAGGAGACGTCTCCTCCCACACCTCCACTTCGAAACAGAGTTTTTTCTTCTCTTTATTTTGTGGGGGAAGGGTTAACTAGAAATTCGTGGCCGTAGTAAAGCAAATGACAATATCGTTAGCTGTTTCTATTATAACGTAAAATGTAATTGATAAACAAATAATGTTTACCACTATTTAGCAAAAATTATATTTGACATTTTTGCAGTTATTCTTTTAATTGGTTGGGCCGCAATGCCTAGGCTCCCAATGGTTATACGTCCGGTCAACCCAACAGACCCCCATCGACTACCAGCCCACGTCACCAAGAAGGTACTAATAATAGGTGAGTCTATCACGGAGTAAAGAGACAAACTAATGGCGACTACATCCACTGGAGAGTTTAAAACAAGCGCCTGGAAAGTATGCAAGTGTCAACATAAATTGATAACTCTATAAATGACGTCATCAGTTAAATCGACAAAACGAATCATCTTGATTATAGCTTGATAATCTAGATGCTTACCTCTAAAGCTCCTGAGTAAAAATCTTGTCACGATTATAAGATATATTTCCCACGACCAAAATCATCTCCATCCCATAAGACTCATAATAATACTTAAGGCGCATTCACACCGAATCCGAATTTCTGGATCGGAAGGCGGCCTACCGAACCGATCAGGAGTAGAGACGCTGGCGTTCAGTGCTTCGGAAACGCTGTACATATTCGGTTCGGATCCATGTGAATCCAACTATGGTTTATTATTCGATGTAACAGCATCAATATTACTCACGTGCATAAATCGTCTATATAGGCCTATACCGTAATAATACTTGTTAATATTTCGCTACTCCACTGAGTTGGTGTGTTCTTAAGTTTCTTAATAATACATTTTCGAACCAATTGTTGTTGTTTTTTGGGGTTTTTTTTTTTTTTTTTTTTTTTTTTTTTTCTATGCAATTTTATGGTGTTGTATTTGTACTCGGCTCTCCCACAAAACTGAAACATATCACTGAAAAGGCTTCCCAGTATATAGAAGAAATAAATAAAATAGAAAAATAAATATGTGTAAGGCCTACATTAAAATCCACGTTGTTGTTTTAAGCTTTCGTTTTACTTTGGGTTAAGTGAGCATACAAACTTCGCTGTTTTTTTTTTTGTTTTTTTTTTTTTTTTTATCATTATTATTATTATTATTATAAATCGTATTATTTTATAAAGTTACAGGAAATGGACATATTTTCAATAACGTATACTTGAAAATGTTTCCGATTTTCTTTCTGAAATTGTTAGCCACGGAGTCGTCGCTAAGTGTGAATTTGAAATGGATGAAAAATGGACTCTTCGGCGTGTCAATCATACAACTGACCAATAAGTACCGGACCAGAAATACGCGCTTGTCCCACAAATGCTCTTGTATACGTACACGACTACGATATCGTTTTGCGGGGCGTGGGGACGAGAGGCTTAGCAACAATAACCAATTTTAGCGGCTCAGCAGTACGGTCTATTCTATTAACGGGTATAATTAATCGAATGAATGAAAGCAGGCTGGTTTCCACCCCCGGATACTTGACCCCGGTATTTTTTCCCCACACATTTTCCCCCGAGACAATTTCCCCCGGACTTTTCCAGGACAATTCCCACCCCCTCCGGACCTTTCCCCCACTTCCCCTTACATCATGCGTTAAATAAAACAAGAATTTAAATAAATTAATAGGCCTACATCAAGATTTATCATTCTTTTATATTAAATCATTATTAAATCAATCGCACAAGCAATAACCATATTTACATGTAAATATGTAGGCAGCAAAGTATCTAAATAATGTAAGAAATATATTACCGTACTGAAAATAAATTACAAAGCTATAATTTCTACATAATTATTTTTTATAAAAATTAATACTTTTGATTATCTATTGCAACTTATTTAATAATGCTATCCATATAGAATAAACAAGGTTATTACATTTTCTCTTTATAGTTATTAAATTTGCATTATTCTTAGAGTTCATTAAAAATATCCCTAGGACGGAAGCTACCAAGAAGCAAATTATTATCTACGCCGTTATCAAAAAACGATGTTGGAAGCTAGGAAAATAAAGAACAAGCTGAGAAGAAAGGCCTTTAGGAAAGATTCAACTCAGGAATCGAAAGTGGAATTCTTCAAGGCCTTGAAAGTCTATGACTATTTTAAAAAAACCCATACCAATAATGAGAAAAGGAGATCAACCCAATATGAGGAAAAACTATACCGTGCTAATTTTTGGAGATTTAGCAAAAATCTTCTCACCAATTCGCTCTACACTGGTCACAAAGGCCCTTCGTTTTCTAACACTGATCACAAAGGCCCTTCATTTTCTAAAGAAACTGCAAACAATTTTTACTCAACTAAATATGGAATTCCAAAAACCATAGATGCTTCTCTACTGTCTTGGATACCGGACCCTCGTACACCGGAGGAAGATACAATTCCATTTCAACACAAGCAGTATACGTTTTTTGACTTGGAGGACGCCTTTGGTTCGGTGCCTCATAACTTAATTAGTCTCATACTTGATAGATCTAATGTTGATCCTTGTTTTAAAATTTACATTAATAATTTATATGCCAATATCTCTGGGTACGTTAAAACAAAGGATTGGCAATCGGATGAATTAAAATTTCGTAAAGGTATTTTTCAGGGCGATCCCTTATCTCCCCTTATCTTTATTTTGATTTTCGACCCCATTATTCAGGCATTGGAATTGGAGCTTTCCCACGGCTACAATATGGATGGAATGAAACACATCACAACTCCATTTGCAGATGACTTCTGCTTAATAACTGGTAATAAGAAAACACACCAAAGATTAATTAATAAGATATCCACCTTTACTTCGTCAATGGGACTTAAACTAAAACCATCCAAATGCAAATCTCTCTCTATTGTCCGTGGGAAAGCTTCAAATGTGCCGTACACTCTAGCTGATAGCACTATTGCATCAGTTCAAGACGAACATCATAAATTTTTGGGCTATATCATTCCGTAATACCGAGAATGATGTCTTCCAATACCTTAAAGAGATAATTGAGAAAAATCTTAAAGTAATCGATAGTTCTCTTGTTAGGTCTGAATTCAAAGTCAAAATTTATTCCAATTACCTGTTACCTAGTTTAAGATTTCATCTGACTGTTAACGATATTTGTAAAACTCAGCTTGATAAACTTGATTCCCTCAGTAGCAAGTATGTAAAAAAATGGGTCTATTAAATTTAATATAATAGGCCTATATCAATAAATGTTTTACATTTCATGGCTTACAGGCGATACCTATGTGACAACACAGAGGACCACTTCTCTGATGACGTAGATTACGTAATCGCTAATCATATTCTGGTACAACGTAGTTTTGGAAAAAAAAATTATCTGCTTAGGCCTACCTACTTTTTTCTCGCATTCAGTTTTAAAAAGGTTAGGCCTAAGCACTACGTAATTAAACTCTTTTACATTCTTGTAATATTTTTCTATGCTGAGATTTAAACGAAGATGATTATTTTATATTTTAGCGTGGTTCAATAACTACTTCCAGTCTCATGATATTCTGGATCGACTTGGAGTGAAACACAATTTCAGGCGATGGAAGGCAGTCGACTACATTTTTAGAGACTACGAACCCGAGAGCATCTACAGTGAAGGACCCTATCCATTGAATCTATTCGGTAATACAATAAAGCATAGAACCAAACACTAAGCAATATAGGCCTAATGTCTCCCATCTCACATTTTCGGGATGAGGAATTTTCGTATCGTGAAACTTCACAATCACACTTGGAACTAGGCGCATGTGTAAGGATGCTCAAATAAAGAATTTTATATAAAGAATTCTAGGCATATAAAGCCTAAAGCGAGTCTTTGTGGGCATGAAGCATTGGATAAACGGGCTCTATTCACCTTACAAATCCACACGTAGGTAGGATTTGGGCAAATTTTATTTATGGATGACCTGATATTTCAAGACTCCTTCTTTTTTTTAGGGTTTATTCTAAACTTTAATTTGAAACCTATTCAATGTCAAGGCCGACGAGTAAACGTTAATTCTATAGCCTGGCGATTTCCTCGCCCTCTAATCAAGTATTTTTCTTTAATACCGTTTTTGGCATGAATATGGTCCTCATTCTTTATAATTATATCCTCACAATTATTCTTTCTCTTAGATTGTCCGTCTTTTCATACGCTAGCCACATCATCTAACTGCCTAACTTCCTTCACTTTTACATAAGTTATTTTATCACTTGGGGTTTCTTGGTTTTATCGAGTACCGGTATACCCATATTGTTCGTTTGCTACTAATACCACATTTTGGTTGAAAGCGATTGTAGTTCTGCCTTACACTACTAATCAGAATTGATATCCAGGCAATAAATTGATTTTTTTTTTTGTGCAAATACCTTTATACCGTCATAATTTTAGGCCTGATTTACCGCAGTCCGAATATGAAGTTAACTGATACTCTTCATAGTGTGAAATCTCTCGTGGACTTGGCTTACTTTCAGTACGACACCATTTTCGACAAATATGGTAACACCACACTAGGTAAGTTATCCACGGGTAATGATATAAAAAATGCAGACTATCTATCGTTTACCCTGTATCCATTAATCAAATGGTCCTATTTACCCGCCATTATATTTAATCGCGTCATCATAAAATTTTCGTATAATCTGGTTACTTCACTTTCAATATGGCACAATTTTCGACAATATGTGGGAACACCAGACTAGGTAAATTATCCACACAATTAATATGATTTACCTAGTGTGGATAATTTATCTAGTGCGGTGTTCCCACTAGGTAAATTATCCACACAAGTAGTATGATTAAAATACAGATTATCTGTGGTTTATCCAGTAATTAAGGTAGTCGTATTTATCCGCCATTATCCTTTGTCACATGAAATTATGTCGTCATAAAATGTGTGAATAATCTGGTAACTTCACTTTTAACACGTTAGTTGTGTTGTCTGTTGTTTTTAAGAAACTCCCTCCGAAAGAATAGGCCTATAGTAATTGACATACTTACGTACATTTGCCGTCAGCGTCATAGTACTTCTCCTAAAACCATCATCACCACCCACACCACCACCCCCTGACAACAATGACCTACCTGTATTAATGCCCGAAAGGACCAACTGAAAGGTTCACCCTTGTTTAATTTCTTTAAAATACGCCTACAAACACTACACGAATGTACTAAAACAGAATAATGTGTTACTCTGAACAGTTATTTTCGACCGGTAACTCTCATAATATTTTTCATGTTATCTTAGCGGTAAAGGATCAAACTTGGAAGGAACGACTTCAAATAATATACGAATGTCTTGTTTGTGACCATGGGTAAAACACTTTTCTAGATAGCCTCGTCCTCTGGATGGGAGTTAAGCCGTTGGTCTATAGTGCATAATTATAGCAAATATCCACGGGTCCAAAGGAGCGCGTGTAATCCTCGTTCTTTTTTTTCTTTTTTTTTTGGCTGTTTTTTTATGAACAATATACATTTACAATTCATAATTCATATTGTATTTTCCTCCAATAGCGATGGCAGACAAAAAGACATCCCTATACAATGTTGTCTACCATAAAACGTTTGATTCATAAGCTCGCATTACTTTTACGCTATTTTTATAATAAATTTGAAATTGTATTATATTTTATAGGACTTGTTGTAATAAAAATATTCTTTCTTCATTTTTCGTTCAGAGGAATGGGCTAAAGAAAAAGAAGTTCCCCAGTCTTTTTACGATATACTGATGAAACCTATTTTGTCTGTTACCCTTAATCGACGCGATATCTTCTGCGCAGCCGAGATGCTCACGTACAACCAGATCTATTTTTTAAGTGACGCAACCGTGAGTTGGCAGCAATGCTGTCCGAATTTGGAAAAATAACATTATTGTTATGCATGTCATATATGGCCAACACTTATCATGGAATATTTTTTGTGAACTGTAGAATATCATAATAATAATAATAATAATAATAATAATAATAATAATAATAAAATAATAAAATAATAAAATAATAATAATAATAATAATAATAATAATAATAATAATAATAATAATAATAATAA